TTGGCTGCTGCCATCGAAGAGGGACACTTTACTGAGTGTTGATTGGATTTTTTCAGGTGGAGACGAGGAAAGAACAGAGAGTAAAGTGGGTGTTGGAAATTAGATGAAGGACTACAGAAAATTCATAAATCTCATTGTATTGATGGAAGCTCAAATGGATGTCTTCTGCTGTCCGATGAGATTTAACAATAAAAGGAGAAGGTGAGAGAAACTGCACGGTATGATGTTTACATATTCCTTTCTTTCTGTCTTTACTCTTTAAACGGGCCATATTCTGCTTATTTTCAGATTTCTGAACTCCAATGTGAAATATTTACAGGCTTTATTGTTCAAAAAGCTCTTTATTTTTCACGTACTGCCTGTGCTGCAGCACCTCTTTCCACCCTCTGTCTAAAACCAGACTGCTCTCATTGGTTAGCTGGCCGGCTCTGTTGTGATTGGTCTGCAACTTAGAGATGTCCCGCCCCTTAGCCTATCACATACATTAGGCGCTTTCACACCCGATTCCTTTCCCCGTTCTTTTCCCTTTTAGTTCCGATACTTCCTGGGATTTTGCGTTCACACCAAAAAGAGAACTTAGTTCATGAGAACTTTTCCCCCCTTTTTAGTGCCTGCTAGAGAGCAGGTACTTTCCTGGGGAGAAAAAAGTTCCAATTTCTGATTGGCTGGGCCAATTGCTAACCACGCCCCGTAAAACTCTGAAAAAGTTTTGTGAAGCTGCCATTTTATTTGCTGGCATNCATTACTTCTACAGTAATAGTGTGAAAATACAGGTAATTACTGTAATTTATGTACAGCAAGGTACCATAATATCACAGCTCTTTACTGCTATATCACAGTAATTCCATGGGCATGGCAACTGTAAAGTCACAGTATTTAGTTGTACTTTTATTCTAATTTACTGTAAAATATCTACAGTAAATTACTGTGAAATATATACAGTCAATTGCTGTGAAATATTTATAGTAAATTACTGTGAAACTAGTAGCCAGTAATTTACAGTAATTTTACAGCCAAACATTTTACAGTGTATGTTTTAACGCTTATCCAGACAAGCCTGGTTTGGATACTTTACGGGCAGAAGAAACATTTCTATTAAAGAAAAAATTATAAATGTCTGTCTTTTTATGCCTTTAATAGCTATAACTTGAATTTGTATTCAAATTAATTAATCAATCAATTATTTTTTATATTTTATTGTAATGTAGAGATAAGGCTTTTAGTGACAAAAAAAAAAAAAAAAAGTCTAAATATGCTATTTGGCCTCAAATCATCTGACGCCCTGCGATCTTTGGCGCGCCCCCCAGGTTGGGAACCACTGGTCAAGATAAAAGATGACGGGAGGTGTGGGGTTGTTTTACCTGAGTACAGTCTGGCAGGCATGTTGGTCACCCCGCTGGATGGTAGTAATTCCCCTGAGTATGGTTTTAAAGGCAGGTTGCCAAGTTTTAGAGAAATAGCCATAATATTAAGTGCTGTATAAAAAGTTACAAAGCTTTAGTGTAATTTAGTTTTGCAGTTAAAAGCTGTAGGCCATATTAATGTGAGGTGTTTAGATATAGCCAATTGGTTTATTGAGCATTATGTAAAAACAGAAGTATGACTCATACAGATGCTAATTTGTAGAATGTGAGAGTTACGCCTGTGGAGACATTCTGCAAGATATCATGTACATTAGATGTATGGATGTTTTCCGCTTGTGTGACATTTTGAATAAGAAGAATTCTGGTTATCTGTATTTTACTGATTCCTTTAATGTTGATGTTGTGCCAACTTTGGGACCCATTATACATTCAGTATCCATAGTTGAGGCGATGGCAGAATATACCGTTAATAATAATAATACTGTTACATTTTTAGCGTATAGCTGGGAAATATTTTCTCAGTAGAAAGTATTCACAATGAAAGTATGAGTTTGGCTAGCTGCTAACACCAGTATGCTAACATGCCGATAGTCTTTGGTTTATGTCATACCATATGACATAAACCAAAGTGTTAAAATTATTCAGTTTTGAACTGAAGATGGCACTAGATTGAAAGTCATGGAATCACCATTGACATGAATACCTGAACAAAATGTTGTGCCAATCCATCTAACCTGCTGCTGCATGGTTCAAGAGGGAAAGGTCAGGAAATATTATATTTTGTGAGTCATCCTCTTGGAACCATGAGAATTTGTAACACAATTGATGGCAAACCATCCAATAGATATTTAAGTCATTGGGTTGCATCCTCTGGCTTTCATGAATGACACAATATGGCTATCCATCCAATAGTTGTTGATATTTTTTGTTGTTTCGGCCAAAGTGGTGGACCAATAGACCAGCATTGCAGTTGGCTTTTAACAATTGTTCAATGTGACCTGTGGATTATCCAGATGATATTTTGCTCTATAATGTTTCTGAAAAGAATGTTTGGGTCACATAAGTGCCGAAAACGTAATTCCATCCAAGTTCATTGTATTGAGGTGGTAGAAAGAACTGATTACTAGATCAGAAATAGGAGAGCAAAGAAAGAACTGGCCTGACATGCAAAGCTGAATTTAGATCTGTGATGTTGCGAGGACACAATACACCCTCTAGCTTGTTGTGGCACCAGATGTCTCAGTACACACTGCCTTAAAGTGTGTTTCTGGTGTTGTGTACTGTGCATCCATCCTGGTTCTGCTGCTTAGCCAACTGACTTACCCTGCCAAACACATGTATGGCAGAAACAATTCCCGGGGCTGCAGCAAAGTGTGGCACATCCAGGCAGAAGTGCTCCCTGGCCCTGGGAAGAAATGAGGAAGATGCAATCCAAGCTCACACACAAATGTGTATACGTTCAGTTTAATAACGCACACAGTATCAATAATAAAGAGAGCAAAACAGGCTCCTTCTATTTCTTTCTCCCTCTCTTCCTTACTCATGCACATACAGAGTCTCTCCCTGGTGGATAAATCAGTCCTTTCATGCTCTGTCGTCTAGCTGGCCCTGTTCTACTGTGTTTCTATAATAGAGAAGGAGCATTCCCTTTTTTTTTTTTTACTATTCACTCATACGTCTTCCTCTGCCCTCCCTCTCTCTAAACTTCAAAGGGCTCCTAGTGGAGTCAATCTACAAGTACACCAGACCAATGATAGGGGACTTACAGCTTGTGCAATGACTGAGCTGGATATATCAACCTAATGAAGTGTGTGTGTGTGTGTGTGTGTGTGTGTGTGTGTGTGTGTGTGTGTGTGTGTGTGTGTGTGTGTGTGTGTGTGTGTGTGTGTGTGTGTGTGTGTGTGTGTGTGTGTGTGTGTGTGTGTGTGTGTGTGTGTGTGTGTGTGTGTGTGTGTGTGTCGGTTGGGGGAGGTACGTGTGGGAAAATGGGATGGTATAATTTGCTCTTAAGTGGTAAGGATGGAGGTAATGGCTTTTTTAAATAGGACCTGGACGATGATAAAGGTGGCCTGCCTGATTAACACAAGTATAATAATGTTATCATTGGCCTGTAATCAGGAGATAACTTAGATGATGATAATGATGTTAATGAAGATGATGGTATCCCCATTGAAACAGATCTGTAATGATTCCAAAGGCACGTTTTAAAAAAAAAGATTAGTATTCAGCAACTGAGCTGAGAAAAAAAAAGGAATATTAGAGGAATTTGCACTCAAGGTGCCCTGTGGAGCTTTCTTGTAAAACAAACAAAGTTCATTAAATGTGATGTTTCTTCTAGAGGTCTAATGATGTTTCATCAATCTTCCTCCTCAGAAAACCTACATCAAGCCAATTAAAGAAAAACATTTTTTTAATCGCACAGCGTTAACATCCATGTAAATACTCATGTTAGTAAGCGATAAGTCTACAAACACAACAATAACATTTGGCACCACCTTGTAGTAAGCCCCCTTTAGAAACAATTTATAATTTGGAGACTATGCCTGAAGTGGAATGATGAGAGTAACACCTACGTCACTTCCAGGCAAAAAGTACGGCCGACCACTTTTGGGGGAAAACAACGCTGTCATTTGAATGGCGGTCAATAGAAATTCTGAATTTGCCAATCCAATCAGACATTTTTGAAAACCGTGGATTTTTGGATCTTAAAAAATCAGTCAGGCAAACAATTACATGAAATCATTTGAAATCGACAATCGGATCGATGCATGGTTAAATTAAAATCAGTAGGCGAGGCTGTAATTTCGCCAGCTGTTACTCGTATGAGTGAGGCGCAAAATAATAGTTTTATCATGCCAAAAAGCTGCTGTGTCGTTTATTGCACCTCAAACATTAAAACGAATCCAGAGTTACGTTTGTCTGTACTTCCTCTAAGAAAAAAGGACAGTAAAAGAAGAGCTCTGTCGGCCCGTCCACACGGTGGCGTGTGTTCTGCCCATTCACTTTGAATGGGGTGACGTCACCGAGCTGCATTGTGGGAGCGTTGCTTCGCTTTGCTCGCGTTGCTCGCTTCTAAAGTTGAGCAATGTTCAACTTTTGAAGCTTCGACGGAAGCGTCAGCCAATCAAATCATATGCCAGTAAAATCTCTAGCCAATCAACCGCGTGCTTGTGTGTCCAGGGCGGGAGATTCATGTGATTGGTTGTTGGTCGAGCATCAGACACAGACACAGCTTCAGACACGCAAGCTTCAACGCACGCCGCCGTGTGGACGCTGCGTGTGGCTTCAGGCTTGATCGTCATTCAAATGACAGCGTTGGTTTTCCCCAAAGGTGGGCGGGCCCGTAAAGTGACGTATGTTACTCTCATCTATGGACATCGATCGCCTACTGCTATATTTAACCATATATCGAGCCCGATCGTCGATTTCCAATGATTTAATGTAATTGTTAGCCTGTCTGGCCATTCGGGCTCTTTGAATATCCAAAAATCCACGGTTTTCTTAAATTTCTGATCGCATTGGCAAAAACTTCAGAATTTGTATTGACCGCCATTTCAAAAGTGGGCGGAGATGTACTTTTTGCCCGGAAGTGACGCATGTGTTACTCTCATCTATTGATACTTGTATTTATTAACA